CTTGATTACTGATTACATGTGATTATATTGCAAAATATAATCGATTACAGCTGATTACGATTACCCCATGCCTGCTATCCACCAAAGATGTAAACAAGTTTATGTCACCGTGCGGCCTTCAACTATTAGCAAAACACATAGCGTAAAGTAAGCTATATAAAGACCCGACACGAAAATGTAAAACAATTCACACGAGAAAAACAACGGCCTGTTTTATATACAAAACGATATACGAAAATGTATACGGGGTTAAACCTGTTTGTGAGTTCTCATACTTTCCCACTAACTCGGAACAGTGGAGTAACAGCAACAAACTGTAAACATCTGTAAAAACAATGGCTTTAAAATAATCAGCATATAACAACTAGAGGCCACTGTCCGGCCTTGAAAAATATAGAAAAGCCTTACCGTTTAGTAATTTAATAAAAAGCCTTTGGAGAATAAAACGTGATACAATTCAAAAGAGAAACCTAACGACTGGATTCAATTCAGTGAAAGAAAATAATTAAGTCAGACAACAACCAACGACATCCACAAGACTGATTATTCGAAACAACCTAATAATGTGGCGAGGCTTAATTTTTGAGAGCTGACCCTACCCCGAATTAACTTAAATGGTGTAGCAACCAAAGCATAATAATACACAGTTACAGCTAATTTCCTAATGCTTGTAGAGTAAGACTTTGGTTGGCTTGCTTGCTTTATATATATATGTGTTTGCTCAAGCATTGTAATTAAGATTGGTATAATTGTATGCAAACAATATAGATCGGTGAAGTTAAAGCTGTATACATTATACTTAAATTTGATTGAATGTTATCCTCGAAGTAAGGAACACACAATTGTACATGTATACATTACATGGCAAATATTATTCACACATATATAAGCTGGATTTTATAAAATTACATAAATCATCATTCTAGTTATTTATAATGTATACAATTATAACTCCACCTATTTATATTCTTTGCAGATGTCAATCTTATTTACAATGCTTCAGCAAATGTCTATACCAACAAAGTAAGCAAGCCAACCAAAGTCTTGCTCTACAAGCATTATTTGAGTTATTTAAAGTTTTAATATTTTCAAGATAATTAGCCAAAAATGGGGAAAAATGTGAAAAATTGACATTAAAGGGCAATAACTTCAAAAAGGGGACCACTGACAATTTTAGTCATTTTTGACTTATCAAATTAAGGGCAATTACTCTAATAAGGAGTTGTCTGACGATTTTGGTCATGTGACCTATTTGTCTTGTTGATCATATTTGGTATTTAAAGTTATATCTATTGTAAAATTCGAAATAATAGGGGAAAAGAAATCAAAAATGGTAAAATACGTCATTTAAAGGCAATTACTCCTATAAGTAGTCGTCTGATAGTTTTGACTTTAAAGGACAATAGTTAGAGCTCAACATTCTGAAAAATTTTTGCTACTGTCAAAATTTCTCTATTTATAGCGGTTTTCAAAATAATAGACAAAACTTGCTTTAACCCCTATGTTCTATTTTCGGCCATGTCGGCCATCTTTGTGGGCAGGTGGAGTCATCGGACATATTTTCAAACAACATAGCCTAATGATGACTGTGGCTAAGTTTGGATAAATTTTTCCCAGTGGTTTCAGTGGAATGATTTTTGTAAAAGTTAACGGAAGACGACGGATGCCGGACGCAAAGTGACGAGAAGCGCTCACTTGGCATTTGGGCCAGGTGAGCCAAAAACTCAATCCATTTATCAGTCAAATATTGAAAAATGAAAATAAATATTTCAAATTTTGATCTTGAAACTGTCTTCTGGTCACAAACAAACTTCCGTCCAAATTTCCTAAAATTCCATGAAGGTTTGACAAAGTAATTAATGTATAAAAAAAACTTGAACCACAGACTGAACCTAAATGTTGCCGCCGCCACCGCCTCCGGAATCTAGGATCGTTTTGTCTCGCTTTCGCGACATTAATGTCACTGGCTTGACAAAAAGCACCCTCAGCGTAGCACAATTGCCTCTGCTGGTGGACTGATAGTCCCCGAGGGTATCACCAGGCCAGTAGCCAGTACTGCGGTATGAAAATGCGGATTTTGTGTTATTGAAATTTGCTGTTAAAAAAATTTGGAAATTATTTTAAATCAAGGAATATATCTCCCTCATGCAAAGCTCTGATTACTTGCCCGGCTTGGGCTATACTTTTTTGTCCTTTTTGATTTGTAGCTCTTCATCTTTTTAATAAGCTTTTGATTTTCAAATATTTTGGCTCGAGCATCACTGAAGAGACATTGATTGTCGAAATGCGCATCTGGTGCAGCAAAATTGGTACAGTTTAAGTTAGTATCTGAAGTGTTCTTCGTGCATTTTGTTCGTCTTACATGTAAAAAATACTGTTTCTCACCTGATATCACCCCTGGTTCTAGGTGTGTTTGTCTTTTAAAATTTTTTTTTTCACTTATTGCTTTTGCTGGGTCAAACCTAAGGCTGTATAATTGGGATTTGGTGTTTCACTGCTAAGCACTTGCCATTGAGGAGTACGCCACTGGTCGGCTGGAGTCCGAATAAAGTGTCTGGATAGAGAGAATATGTCTTTCTGTAGACTGATACCTTATGAACTACCACTTTAAAAAATCCGACTCAAAATGTCGGTCTAGTACACAGCAGTATATTACACTAACATGTCCTTGTCCTGAATATGCATTTAAATTTTGCCAAAATAAATAAGAAAAAAAGATTACCGTTTTTATTTGACAAAGCAACGTGTGCAACCTAAAGAATGAGAGCCATTCATCGAGGTATAAATATAAATCTTAAAATTAATTGGACAAAAAGCTTTTCGTGTAGAAAACACTACGTTGTCATCACTCAATGTTCTTGATTGAAGTTTAAATATTTTTTAATATTATACATGTTAAATGGAAATATATTGTAAATAATCTTGATAGATGACGATTTTATTTTTTTAAAGATGTGTTTACATCATTAAAGGTATATTTAAAGCCAAATAATGAAAAAATTTAATATCATCAATTCTAATGTAAAACTTTTATTGTTTGACAAATTGACCATATTAATCTCCATCTTGTGATGCATGCTGTAGTATATAAACCACTAAAATACTGCATCTGCAGATTTCTAAATCTCAAAAGGTAAGTTAAATATCTTGTATTTTGTTTTAGATTCTATGTCTTATCTAAATCTTTTATTAAAAAATAGTTGAAATGCACAAGAGCGTACCCAATCAAATACACTGTTACAAAAGCAACGAGGAATCCATTGATGTAAGTTATTGAACTTATTTATACATTTTTAAGATCATATATTTTATTTTATGAAAACATATTTTTATTTGTTTTGTTAGAATGAAAGTTTTATGTGTATGAATATGTAATGAACTTTTCATAAATATATATTCAACTTTTTATGAATATATGTTTAACTTTTATGAATTTTTTTTTATTTTTATGAACACATATATTTTTTTTTTTTTAACTTATATTTTGTTTTTATGAACATATATTCGTTTTTACAAACAATTATTTAACATTAAAAACTTATATTTCATCTATTGTGAATATTGCAACGTTTGATATGCCATATTCAAGTAAGTACGGAATTGTACATAAAATTGAGAATGGAAATAGAGAATGTGTCAAAGAGACAACAACCCGACCAATAGTCAGCAAAACGCTCAAGGCCACCAATGGGTCTTCAACACAGCGGGAAAATCCCGCACTCGGAGGTGGGCATCAGCTGGCCCCTAAACAAAAATGTGTACTAGTTCTGTGAAAATGGACGTCACACTAAACTTCGCAACATATAATAGAACTAAAAAAAAAACGTACAAGACTTACAAAGACCAGAGGCTCCTGACTGTTTAGGTCCCACTTTGATTTTCCTATGAAAAAATAGAAACGTATCTTTGCGTGTGATGTAGTATCCTGACCCTGTGAGTCATACATCAGTAATGACATTCAAATGTCCACCAATTGTCGTGGTCTAATTTATTTTTCATATACTTAAGACTGTTGAATTGTCAATCTGTAATTGTCTTGAATATTATTGAATTTATATGTCTTATTGAAAAAAATTTGTAAACGATTTTTAAGGCCAAAAATAGAATTAAGATTATTTGATGTTTCCTACCTTATCACCTTATAAGCGGCCTACCTTAAAAATTTTATGACACAAATCGGTTCAATTTTTTTGTTAATAACGTCGTTTTCTTGTCTCAAACATGTAACTTATGTTGTTGGCCAGTAAGAAATAAAATCCCTGTTACCTACCAAACCCTACAAGGCATTGAGTAGGTAACATCAAACAAACAATTTTTAAGGGTCCTAAACACTATCTCTGGATAATAGTGAAGACGAAAGAAAAGAATCTTTTAAAGGGTGCGTACTCACAAGTTCAAAATATATAAGTTATAAAATCCTACTCAAATTTGAATAAAGGAGTCTATATCACATTGAATTTGAGATGAAGAACAGCAATAAAAGCGCAGTTCCTTTGCTTTCTGTGCGTTTTTTTGTTGTTGTGCATGAACTGATTTTGTGTCATGGATGGAAACAATTCAAAACGTTATTCAACGCTAAATGTTTCTGATGTTTTGGTTATCTTCAGGTGTATATAATTTGATGATCATCTGATTGAAAATAAACCATAATATTGTTAGTTACTCAATTTCCACCTTTTAAGCTGTGATACTATGAATTCAAGTAAAGATTGAAGACTATTAGCAGCTTTGACCCCATCTCTTTTTTTAACATTTTTAATTTATTAACAGTAACAACCAAATATATAGAGTAAATTGTGCGTTAACATTCCCTTCGGAAACATGATACCCGTGAGGCAGTAAAATGGACCGAACATACATTGACAAATTAACCAATAATCAATTTAATGTACACTTCAGTTTATATAATAAAAGTATTTTAGATTCTGAGAAAATGTGATAATTAACTGCTGTCTGTATTTCACTTTCATTTATCATCTTTATAATATTTTTAGCTAAAAATGAAGCTCGCCATTGCTCTGCTTTTCCTTTTGTCAGCCGTGTGCATAAATACACATTTAGCATATGTCTTGCATGGTGGCAATCATGGTGGCGGAGATGATGTTGCATATGGTCATGATGGTAGCGGATATGGTGAGCATATAGGCAATCATGGTGGCAATCATGAGGTTGATCATGGTGGCAATCATGGTGTAGATCATGGTGGCAATCATCGTGTTGATAATGGCGGCAATCATCGTGTTGATCATGGTGGCAATCATGGTGTTGATCATGGTAGCAATCATCGTGTTGATCATCGTGGCAATCAAGATGTTGATCATGATGGCAATCATGGTAGTGGATATGGCAATCATGGTGTAGATCATGGTAGCAATCATCGTGTTGATAATGGCGGCAATCATCGTGTTGATCATGAAGGCAATCATCGTGTTGATCATGGTGGCAATCATCGTGTTGATCATGGTTGTAATCATGGTAGCCGAGATAATGTTGCGCATGGTGGAGGATATGCTGCGCTTGGTAAAGGATATGTTCCATATGCTTGGTGATAGATAGGGTGTGCGTGATGGCGGACCGGTGGGGTGGATGGTGGAAAGAAAGATGATAATTATTATTATAGATATAGGGATCTTTTTTTTCTCGAAATGGTAAAACGGACATGAATTTAAATAATTATCCACATGTATATTTCTATAGATATACTGCAATAAAGATATAGCCGGTAGCTGTGTTTTATATTTAATATAAGCAAAAAAAAATTAACATATACATTGTGACTTGCTACGTTAAGTTTATATGTTATATTTTTATCTGCATGCATGTAATTAAACAATCATGAGTTGAAAGCAGAAAGCGAAATAACAACTCATATGCAACTGTAGGTGGCAACTGTTTATAAAATTAGTTGCAAAAAAGAAAATCATGGATAGAGTCTCCCACAAAACTTTGAAGGCCTAGAAGACGCCATAATTATCTGGACCAGCTTTATATACATTTGACAAGTCTCCACCTTTTTTTAAATTCTAGCATTTCAACCAAAAAGTACAATCAATTGATAACTTTCAATTGAAATGTAAACTACAAGTTGAAGAATGTGTTATTTACTTTATCGAGTTGTGCCTGTTGATTTTTACACTTGTCCAGAAAGAATTCTGTAATCTGAAAAAGAACATGGATCCAAAAATTTCGCCAAACTGATCCTTCGGTTATCGTGGAGTTTATTCCCTTTGGGAAAGAACTTCCAGTTTTTATCGCATTTTCAAAGAATAATTAAGGACAAACGATACAGTTTTGATTCCACGGTGACATTTTGACGAAAGTTTGCATACAAGCTAATTTTCACCTAGTCAATTCAAATATGTAATAAACATTATACCTTCATGTGCTACTTTTAGAGAAAAATTGGGTCGAAATTTCAAACATTTACTTGAAATTTCGGTTAGTTGACATTTCTATTCTTTAGAAAGACATACCGAACTTTTTTGTTTCAAAATTGAAACGTAAGCGGATTTTTGTGACAAAATTCGGAATATCTTATCTACATAAGTGTGCTTTAAATTTGTATAACTTTAGAAATAATTCGTTTTTATCACATTTTTATGACTTTAGTAAAAACACGGATTTTTTTCCTGTATATTTATCTAATTTAAAAAAATCCATCGGTGAATAGCTCATAAAATTGGCACAAATAATCTTCATACATAATCAAGCCAAATGCCATTTTTAAATAAAGGCAACAGTAGTATACCGCTGTTCGAAACTCATAAATCGATAGAGATAAAAACAAATCCGGGTTACAAACTAAAACTGAGGGAAACGCATCAAATATAAGAGGAGAACAACGACACAACAAAAATACGACATTAGAATGTAACACACATAGAAACGAACTATAATATAACAATAGCCATTTCCTGACTTGGTACAGGACATTTTTAGAAAAAAATGGTGGGTTGAACCTGGTTTTGTGGCATGCCAAACCTCCCGCTTTTATGGCAACGTCAAACACAACACCAAAACGACAGCATCACATGACAAAAAGAGGGCACATAAACTCGTTTTCAAGTTAAATTAGGCTGAATGATTAAAATCAGTCGAAAAATGCATCTTTTCCCGATATGTCACAGTTTGACGCCGTGAAAAATAACATTTTACGTTAGCGACGTCTTTATCTCCCCTGTTACTGTATCGTATGCCCTTAAACGAAGAATACACACAGCGTTAGTGAAAGTCTATTTATTATGTTATTGTTTCAGCTACATATATATTGACGTCATTATTGAATTTTTTTCAGATTAAATGTCTATTTCAATATAATTATTGAAGGTATTTTTTAGGTTCTGGGCAGTTGAATTCTTTTTTATTTTTTTCAATACATATATTTATGTCATTTTTAGAGTCTGTTTTGTCATTGTGTAGTTCAATTTCTCCTTCCTGATCCTTCCTTAGTTAATTATTTATTACAGTAATCTTGCATTCATATATATTACATAAAAATTACAAAATAAAAAAAGTTAGATTGTTCATCTCTCATTTTTCAGGCGTTTTCTTTGGCATGGCTGTTAGATGATTCATTTAGCTTTGTTTACAACTGTAAACTTTCCATCAGAAGAACTTATCGCTGTTTTTCTCTTCCTTTTTTAGTCAACCAAGTACTTTTTGAATATGTCTATCTTCTCTTCGGAAATACGTGGTGAACGCAAGTTAAACTGAAGATACCGTAGACTCCACATACAATACGTGGCATCCTTAAGACCGACAAGTTCGGAAGATATTTTATATGTTGCATTTTTTGAATTTTGGTGCCAATAACAAAACACGTTTCGAATTTGTCGAACATTATGATATGATTATTGCATTCGGAGACTAGCAACGCCGCGTCCAATCAAAATTGCGTCAAACATTTTTGGTCCTCATTGTTCCTTGTATTCTATTTGGCATTAAAAAAATTCCCGAGGGTCACTGATGAGTATTTTGTAGACGAAAAGTATGTCTGACGTACAAAATTATAAGCCTGGTATCTTCGATTTGTTTTTTACTCTGTCCTCAGAAACAAAAAATATTAGACAATTGGAATAACCGAGGAATGCTTCTTTAAAATTTCTGAATAGCTGAAAGATTGTAGATACAAACCGCCACCAGAAACGAAAAGGCAACTAAGGCTTCTGTGAGTTGACACATATCCTATATTGCATGATTTACTGCAAATATGGTTAAACAAATGTGCCTGAGACAACCAGTTATAAGTATTTTTTTTAAATATTTAGCATCATAAAATGCACAACAAACGAAAAAGGAGGGCACATGCCCCAAGTTCTTATTCTTGTAAGCAATCATTAATGTATTTAATCTTTGAATTGAACACAAAATTAAGGATCTAATTTATTTTCTTTAAATTTGGAAACCATAAATACATGTTGAAATCGATTTATGAGACAAAAATAATGTCATAAGAAAAAAGCATGCGACACAAAATCGTATTTCTAGACTAAGAATCAAAAAACAGAAAATTTCTAAATTTCCCGCTAATTTGTTTTTCCGGAAAAGAAACGTATAGTCAAAATCGCGTGTATGACTACGTCTTTAGAAGGATCAGTAACAACAACGGTTGTTACTAAGGACTTGCTTTCCGAATGGTATAGCAACAAGGTTCCAAGTATTTAGTCAAATAATGGTGTAGGTTATTTTAATATGCCATGAGTTAAAAGAATGCAGTATTCGGTGAAAATGCAGATACTACAAAAATATTTTTTGATACTCTTTTAAACCTACTCATGATGGAGAAGATACTTCACCACTAAACGCAAGGTTTTTGGTTTAATAAATGAAGAATTGAACATGTAGTAGATTTTATTGATATAAAAAAATGATCTGTATAAATGCGGTAGGATATTTAGAATGGTGATAAAAGTATAGTATGCCCTTCTGTTTTACTTTAATGGTCCCAACCCGTTCTGAGTCATAATAAAAGAGAGGCAAAAGATACCAGAGGGACATGCAAACTCGCAAGTCGAAAATAAACTGACAACGCCATGGCTTAAAAAAAAGACCAATAGACAAACAACAGTACATCAAACACAACATAGAAAAATAAAGACTGAGCAACACGAACCCCAAACAAAACTTGGGGTGATATCAACCAAAGTAACAAAGATCCTGAACCTAATAATCTAAACCCATACATTTTTTTTCTTATTGGGTATCTAACATGTCTAAGGTTATTTTATAATAGCTCTAACACTTAAACCTAACCTAAACTTAGAAAAAAGCCTAAACTTACCCTTTCCATTAAAAATGTCCCTAATCGAAAGAACAGATACCCCTCAAGTAAAAGAAGGCCAAAAAATATATAAACAACTGAAGAAAATGTGAGAATAATAAGTTGAGTTCGTGTATTTGTATTCATAGCTAAAGAAAATGCAAACTTTTCTTTACATTGTGCTTCCTATCATGCGATTCCATACCAAATAAAAATCAGTTTACGTTTGGTTAAATGAATTCGTTTTGTGTTTTTTTCCATTATTTCATTTTGTTTTAATAAAATTGATTAGAAAAAAATCAAACCTTTACACAGAACCTGGATTGAGTTACATGCATACATAGGAACTTAAAAAAAATGTTTTTTTAGTTGGATTTCTCTTTTTTTTTATATATATATTCTACAGGGGTTGTCCTTTCAGGAAGATATAAAATTGAGAATAGAAATGGGAAATGTGTCAAAGAGACAACAACCTTACCAAAGTCAAGAAAACGGCCCAAGACCACCAACGGGTCTTCAACACAGCGAGAAAATCCCGCAGCCGGAGGCGGGCTTCAGCTGTTACCTAAACAAAAGTATGTACTAGTTAAGTGAACATACTTTTCTTTAAACATTTCTTTAAAATTCACGTTTCTGTCATTTATGTGACAACTGAGAAATGACGTCTGGCGCATGAAATTTTAATTCGGGTATCTATGATGAGTTTTTCTCTATCAAAATCTAATACATATAAAAGAACGGGAGACTGATTTGTAAACAAGCTGATCACTGCTGTGACAATCGGCTGTTTAATAGCATTTCATAACCTTGAAATGAAAATAGTAATTGATACACACTGAAAATATAACCGGAGGGTTAATCACCTTTCAAACATTGTTAAGAATATACATCACAAACTTAAACTTCAAGAACTAAAACAAGATATTTCAGAAGAAAAGCAATCAGAAGTTTGGAATTTCATATGACTCAACAAAAGAAAATATAAAGAAAAACCCTAGGTGCTTAAGTTTTTTAACCTCTTCTTATCCAACTTTTCAGAGGAGGGTATGTTATGTAGGTCAAATATTTAGTTTGGTCGACTTTAATTTATAATTGAAACAGAGAGAATCAAAATGAAATTTGTTTTCGAACTTTAAGTGAATAGATTAACATGTCATATCAAATGCCACTTTTAAGACATTTGCTATGTTATTCCAGTTAATTTTATAAATACTGTGATATGTTTTCAGACTAATTCTCTGAGTATAACTTTATTTCTCAACAAACCATATACAGTGGAATGGTAGAGAA